AATACTGGTTGATATGACCCTCTAAACAGAAACTCTCTGGGGTCCCTCAATATTTTAAGAGCACAAAAGGGTCCTGAGGCAAGAAGTTTGAAAACTGCTGCTGCTTTACTAAAGCAAAGAAACTTCTTGAGAAGCACAATCTTGGGTTTTAATCTTCAGATGAAATCTCTACTTTCTAATTTTCAAGAATTTACGTTATAACTGTGACTGATAAACACTGTTCTCTGTGCAGAAATGCTTCCAAAACACTAAGGGAAAAATAAAAGGATGACCTTTTAAAAAGATTACAGGGGATATGAAATATCTCCCATCTTGGGATAGTCACTGCTATTCTGAATTTACAAGAAGCAATGACTCCACATATATTTATAAAGAAGCTGCTATGTTGAGAGCTGAAGATAGAAGAGTAACTAAGTGATAGACCAGCCTTTAGTAGATCTACAATATTGGACATACTGAAAAAAATATAATCAGTGACATAATGAAATACTACTATAAGAGAAGGCATGAACAAAGTGTAAAAAGCATGGAAGGGCAAATTCTTGGGAAGGAGATGGGATGAAAAGGCAGGCAACACTTTTCTTAGTGAAGACACTCCACAGAGGTGGTATGCAAATTGACTCTAACACAAGCAATGCTTTGCCAATTAGAAAAGAAGCTAAAAGCATCCTAAAAGTGGGAGGAGCATCATCTGAGCAGGTGGCAGAACAGTACAGTGTGTTCCAGAAACTAGGCAATTCACTTAAAGAACAAAAATTACAAGTAATTCTGTGCTCAGTTGCTCAGTCATGCCCAGCTCTTTGCGACCCCATGGACTACTGCATGCCAGGCTCCGCTGGCCTTGGAATTTCTGAGGCAAGAATACTGGAGTGGGTTGCCATTTCCTCCTTCAGGGGATCTAAATTTTCATACAATTTGACAAAGTAATTTGCTGTCTTTTGAATTTAATGATCAAAGATTTGGATGCCTTAGACAGAAGCTTTTGAAAACCACAGTAAAAGTAAGCTACTAACATAATGAAGTGAAAACAACCAAACAAAAACTAGTACTCCACCACAAATATTTTGAGAAGCTTAGCACACAGGCTGCAGGATGGTGGGGATGAAGGGTAGCAATAGCAGGAAATAAAAGCTTCAAGCTAGAAGCTTGCATGACTTCCCAGATGGCGCTAGTGGTAAAGAAACCACCTGCCAATGCAGGAACCATAAGAGACATGGGTTCAATCCCTGGGTCGGGAAGACCCCTTGGAGAAGGGCATGGCAACCCATTCTAGTATTCTGGCCTGGAGAATCCCATGCACAGAGCCTGGCGGGCTACAGTCTATGGGGTCACACAGAGTCAGACAATGACTGAGTGACTTAGTATGCAGAAGCTTGCACAGAATGAATTATCAACAATTTCTCTAAAAGTAAATGCAAAAAAGAAAATAAAAAGGGTTTGAAAATTACTAGCATAGCTCTAATCTAGAATGGAGAAATTCTAATTATCTAGATAAAGTACATAATAAGCTCTACTGTCAGAATCACACCAATTTCAGATATGCAAACCACAGGCCACATGGTTGAAGGGCAAAATGTACCAGAGAATCAAGGAAAATATTAGATTCAACATAGCTAATTTTAAAAAAAACCAGGATCTGTGTAAGAAGAGAAAGTGAACTGACACTTAAATCAATACATTTAAAAATTATTTTAATTAATTCATTTGAAACATTTCATGGTAGAGGGGAAAAAACCTTAGTTGACACAGAGGCTCGATATAGTGGGAATTTTCCTCCTAAAATAATGTTAGTGATATCCACTAAAGTATTAAGTAAAAAAAAAACTTACGGAAAATCAATTTTTATAGACATCAAATTCAGAAAAACGTTAATTATATGACTGTTTCCCACTGTAATGGTAAATCAGGATTGATTGAAGAAAGTCTTGATTTTTTTTTTATGGTCATTTTGCTACTGGCATAACTGAATTATTTTGATCCAAGAAGTAACACAGCAGAGTGGAGTCTTGGCAAGATCTAGCACCTATGAGAGACCGGAGCAAAGACATCAGTATGGAGGCTTAGCAGCACAGGAGCTCCAGATGAGAAAAGAACTCTGAACCATGTTTCCATGGGAAAGGAGACTAACGACTGGGTGGAAGCTACGTTGGGAACTAACAGTGGCTTATTTGAGCGGAATGTCCAAATTTTCTTGCCCAGGTCATCCATGAAGCCAGGGAAGTGTAAGTGAGATAGCCAGGTTAGTTTATGGCAATGAATTCAATCAGTCCCAATCACTCACCCAGATTCTGGGCTGATCTTGATTTCACCGATAGCAAGCAAAAATGTTTCTCACAGAAACCTTTGTGTAGAAGTTGAAATATTTTTTAAAAGCATTATTTCTTAAAAATCTTACTTTAAGGAGTTATATAAAGTTACATAAAGCTTTATAAAGTTCAGGGAAGATTTCCCATGTTGACAATTAGCCTCACTTCCAATCTGGTAACCCAAACTGTTAGAATCAGCTAAATTACTGGCCCACATTTTTGTTTCTTCATATAGATACTTTATATATGACAAAAAAGTTTTTAATACTTTAGACATTTGTTGAAACAGTCATCAACAATTTAATAAAACTAGGAAAAAAATAATGTACAAAAAAGCATGCTTCCCAATGAGAAATCATGAGATATAACAATAAAACTCCACTTAGAAAATGAGTATATTCAAGTGTTTTAAGCTAAACTGAGTTATGGCCAATAATCCACTTCTACCCAAGATATTAACTTTTATATTATCAATATTTATCAAAATTAGCTTATATATGTTACACACTAAGATGAACAGAGCACAGAAAATACATGGAGCCCTTTAAAATACAATAAAGGGTGAAATCTTCGTCTAAGACATTAAGAAGCTATATAAACACTCATGTTTCATATGTTTTACAATATTATTAATTAAATACTTTTCCTTTTTTCCTAATCATCCTCTTTGACTTCTTACTCAGGATATTACTATACTTAAAAATATAACTGGTTTCAAAGTGGAGCTGTATTACAAACCATAGTAAAACCTTATGAAACATTAATACATTAGCTCAGGGTCTTCAATCCATTCTGTCATATACTAGATAATATTCAAGATTTTCCTATTGGAGACTGATAGTCCACTGGCTAATGGATGGCCTGGTGAATAGGTATTTTATAATATGATTCAACTTCTCCCAAACTTATTTGGCCATGAGTTCCTCATTCAAAAGGAAAAACTGTTCAACAAGACATACTACAGAAACAATACACTTAACGTATTCACTTTTAAAATCTTAAATATTTAAAAACATATATAAATGACAGAGATAGTCACTAATAATTCAAATTTAATTGCTTTGAAAGTTGTTCACCGTGTATTCTAAATAATCTATCTCCTATCTGGAATAAAGACCTAAATTTGGTCATTTTTCAAGGCCAATTTATTGGCTATGTATGTTTACCATCTGGCTATAACTATTTATTTACCAACTGCCAAAAGTGGTTGGAGCTTACCACAAAACAAAGGTGGTGATAAATTAAGAGCAACAAACAAGACATAATTATATCTTGATGGTCACAAGAATATTAATTGTTAGAATTTTCATTTTAACAAAATTAAAAGTCAAGAATTAGGATTTAATATCAACAATGTTTCAACAAATATAAGAGCAGATTTCAGACTATCAAACAGATATCAACACATAATTATACTTGAGTAAAAGAACTTTTAATATTTATAAATAAAAGTTAGGTTGAGGAAAAAGATAAGTGAATATGTGAATAAATGACTAGCAACCAATAACCACTAATAATTTTATAGTGTTTTTGTTTAATAAGTATAATGTTTTAAAGATTTCCTTGCCTAAATTACAAGAAAGAACACACACTGTAATTAAAATAAAAAAGAAGTAGAATAATTGAAAGAAAAACCTCATCACTAGATTTTCTGAACATAATTAGAAGAGTGAAGAAAAGGGAGTTAGTATTATCACTGTGCCAACCATATGATGCCTACAGGTAGAGAACAAATCTGGCTCAAAGTTGCCATCCCCCTACTGAAACATCAGGGTCCATAAAACGCCATGAATTTAGGATAATCTATTTCTCTTCCAAAACAGAGTTTTCAGTTAGCTGAACTCTTCACAACTAATTATGACCACAATAATCAGTCACTGTGCCTTTTCCCTGCTTACTTCTAGTTCTTCTGTCCATGTATAAGCAGCATAAGGTCCGAGAACTTAAGACATGACAAATTCATTTAGGTTGTAGCTATACTAGAAAACAAGAAGGTAAGTCCAAGTAGAATTAACCACTCACTTATCTCTTTCTGCAGCACTGCCCATCTACTCATGATAATTTAATCAGATATTTAAATCACTTCTCAGAAATGCTAAAATACTACTATCTGCCTTGGAAGAGGTAACCATTTTATATAATTCAAAAAGTAATCACTGACTTATACTATAATAAACCCACAAAAACCAAACTTCTATTTTTCCTCCAAATGATAATTAACGTTTTATCTGAAATCAGATTGCTATTTATATTAACTGTCCATTCTCCCTGGTTTGGGGTTTAAAAAAGCAAATAATTTTTGTTTTTTTCTGGTAAGAAAACAAAAGCATCATTAACATAAATGCTGTTCTTCTGTTAAGCATCTCAATCACTCTCTCCAGAAGTAATCTACACCTCTGAATTCTCAAGAATGTTGTCTGTGTCTTTCTTATGGCATTTAACCTCTTCCTATTGTTTGATGATACTTATTTACCTATATTTATTCTTTCCCTGTAAGTTCCTTAGTTATAAGATCATATCCTACTCAATTAAAAACACACATACACACACACTGCATAATAAAGTTATTTGCACAGATAAAGCACAAAGTACAAATCTGGTAATTATAAGCTCATTTATAACCAAGAAAAGACTGTCTGAAATATACTGAAGTCACAATGATTAAGCTTAAGATCTCAGGAAAAACATTCTCACCATCCATCTGCAAGGCTGGGAGTCTCTGCTTTCTGAGAAAGGAAATTGAGAAGGCTGCTGAAAAGTAACTCTGATGTCATTTGGAGTCTTCAGATTCCCGCTCCTCCTTCTATCTAGTGAGTATCTTAGGAAGAGGAAAAAAAGAGTTTGGCATCTATTCCAAACCAGATTCTGCAGTATCTTTTGTGAAGTTCTGTAAACTTTCTTACTATCTTTTCTTGTTCAATAGAGTCGTTTCACATAGAAATATGAGTTGTTTATGAAACTAATTTACCACTAAAGGCAAGCAACAGATTTTTGCTTCTTAGACTACACTTTACTTGATACAAGTAGATGATTCAAGAAAACACACTGTGAAAAAGGTTCATAGTTGAGAAGAAGCACTTAGTAACCTGTTAATTTCAAATTTCTATCAAATTAATCCAATAAAGTTTCATCTAAAAATTCTAAATCCTCCCAAAGATATATTTCCAAAGTTTCTTAAAAAGAAAAAAAAAATTGCTAGTTTCATATTAAGCTTTGTCGTTTCAATATATTACCTATGTAACCTTCCCAGAAAAAAATTTGGTAATAAATATCAAATATTTTACATATATAGAAAGACTTCTACACCAATGTCCAAAGCAATTTTATTTTTAATAGCCAAAAACTGGAAACAAAAAATTCCCATCAATAGTGAATGAATTATGGTATATCCATACAATGGAACATCTACTACTCAGCACTCAACAACAAAAAATGATATACTGTTGATATAAACAACACTAATGAATTTCAAAATAACTGCTGAGTATAAGAACCCAGACAAAAAGGAATACATAGTGTGTGATTCTATAAGCATAAAAATGTAGTAAATGCAAATTAATCAAAAGGGAGAATAAACAGATCAGTGGTTGCCTGGGAATAGCTGTGAAAAGTTATAAGAAGATGGGATTACAAAACAGCATGATCTTAACTGTGGTGCTGATTTAATGGGGGTACACATATGTGAACTGTGGTGTTGGAGAGGACTCTTGAGAGTCCCTTGGACTGCAAGGAGATTCAACCAGTCCATCCTAAAGGAGATCAGTCCTGAGTGTTCATTGGAAGAACTGATACTGAAGCTGAAACTCCAATACTTTGGCCACCTCATAAGAAGAGCTGACTCATTGGAAAAGCCCCTGATGCTGGGAGGGATTGGGGGCAGGAGGAGAAGGCGACAACAGAGGATGAGATGTCTGGATGGCATCATCGACTCGATGGGCATGAGTTTGAGTAAACTCCAGGAGCTGGTGATGGACAGGGAGGCCTGGCATGCTGCAATTCATGGGGTCGCAAAGAGTCGGACCTGACTGAGCGACTGACCTAACTGAACTGAAACATGCAGTTTATTTTCTGTCAATTACATTTCAATGAAGCTAAAAACTTGTACTTCTTAAAATGCTGTATGCCCCTTGATGGAGCAATTCCAAGTATAGAATTTTTCCTAATGAGAAAAAAAAAAAAGAGGATATGTACACATACTTAGCCATAAGCATGTCATTACACACTACATAGCCACTAAAATATTATATAAGGGAATTAAGTTTCAGGGAATAATATACAATATTATATATTAAGTGATAAAACAGGAAACATTATGTTCTGTGTAACTGAATTTTTGTTTTAAAATTACACAAAAATAAATATAGTAATTCTTCTTCCAGGTACAGGTTACTTCTATTTTTTCTTTTTCCTTATCTGTATTTTTTAGTTTCTTCACAGTGAAAGTGTATTACTTTTATAATAGATAAAACAAGTTAAAGGATGAAGTATCAGCAGTCTACCACTGTCTAATCCCTTGTATGTGTATAAAGCAAACACTCGTAGGAGGCAGTGCACAGTACAGATTTCTGGGTTATCATGTCACCCTCACCAGTGACCTACCAAACAAGAGTGAGAAAAGGGCAGGTCTGACAGGATGAACGGGTGTCACGCCAGTTACAAAGCACTTTCATGGATATGACCTCATTGAATATTCCTAACTCAGTGAAACAAGTAGGGGAGGCCTTATCCCATTTTACGGAGGAGTAACAGTGTGCAGGGCAGGGCTGGTTAAGTGCCATGCCCCAAATGATAGATCCTGGACTCAAATTAGGCCTTGAGTATAAATTCTGATAGGAATTCTGAGAGAGTCAGAAATAATCACTTCTGATAATTTATAAGGCAGTGCTTTATACTTGAACTTTAACCATATTTACAATCAATTTAGTACTCCTACTAGAATATGCTAGAGGCCTTCCAAATTCCCTGAATTCCCAGTCCACCAACTCAGAAGCTACACCCAAGACAACTCTATCCTGCCCCTTGTCAATGTTATAACTCTTCAATTTTTAGTTGCATTTCTTTTTTTTCCCTTGAAAAAGAAAAAAAAAACTGTATTATCTTTCAGGTTGGAAAAGAAAGTAATTACAACTATATTTCTGAGTATAGTAACTATAAGTTAATGACAAAGGTCTAACTTAATTTACTTTAGAATACCACCTTTTGGGCCACATCTTTTTTGGCGCATGGGCAGACAAGAAATAGTCTCGAAACAGCCATATTCACTGAGGAATATGACCAATTCTTGACAAGAGTAAAAGTAAACATCTTCAGAGGCTTTGCTACCACTCTCACCAGCACTCCCAGGACTATGAGAGACTCAACAGAAGGTAAAGATAGCTCTCATTTACTCGGCAGTTACTATGCATCAAGTACTGCACTAAACTCTTTATATACAACCCTATGAGATGATGATTATAATCCTCATTTTATAGATGAGGAAACTGAGTTTAAGTTACCCCAAATTACAAAACTAGTAAGAACTTAAAAGCGGAATTCTAACCTTGTTATATTTTACTTGCAAACAAAACAAGGCCTTGATAGTTCTCTGGAACATAATTCCGGACTTTTTCCTAATACTATTCACTTCCCATAATCTCAATTCAGATAGTGCAAAATACTTGGTAATGGTACATAAAGTTCATGAGTCTACATTCTTCCATGTAGAGAGGGAACAATATTCAGTATCCACAATTCACGTTTGATATTTTGCCACATACTAGAATTGTTTTATCTATTAAAGCACTATTATAACCTTTCTGAGCTAAACTTATGACCACATGAAGAATAAGTTAAAAGAATACTTAAAAATTAGCAAAAGATAATATAAAACCAACAACTATCATAGAATATTAATAAATGGAAAAATTAGCCTTAAATCCAAATCAATGAAACAATATGCCAGATGTGTTATAAATCATGAAGGAAGGAAGCATGCCTATGAATAAAAAACAAATAAATAAAACATTCAAATGACTTTCTTATAATTATATTGTAAAGTATTATGTAATTGTTAAAATATGTTTCCAAAGGATAAGAAGAGATATTAAGAAGAGGTGGCAAGAATACACAGAAGAACTATACAAAAAAGATCTTCATGACCAAGATAACCATGATGGTATGATCACTCACGAAGAGCCAGACATCCTGCAATGCAAAGTCAAGTGGGCCTTAGGAAGCACCACTACGAACAAAGCTAGTGGAGGTGATGGAATTCCAGTTGAGCTATTTCAAATTCTAAAGGATGAGGCTGTGAAAGCGCTGCACGCAATATGTCAGCACATCTGGAAAACTCAGCAGCGGCTACAGGACTGGGAAAGGTCAGTTTTCATTCCAATGCCAAAGAAAGGCAATGCCAAAGAATGTTCAAATTCCCACACAATTGCACTCATCTCACATGCTAGCAAAGCAATGCTCAAAATTCTCCAAGCTAGGCTTCAATAGTACATGATCTGAGAACTTCCAGATGTTCAAGCTAGATTTAGAAAAGGCAGAGGAACTGGAGATCAAATTGCCAACATTCGTTGGATCATAGACAAAGCAAGAGGGTTCCAGAAAAATATCTACTTCTGCTTTATTGACTATGCTAAAGTCTTTGACTGTGTGGATCACAGCAAACTGTGGAAAAGTCTTAAAGAGATGGGAATACCAGACCACCTTACCAGCCTCCTGAGAAACATGCATACAGGTTAAGAAGCAACAGTTAGAACTGGACATGAAACAACAGAATGGTTCAAAATTGGGAAAGGAGTAGGTCAAGTATAGTATCACCTGTATAGTATCACCCTGCTTATTTAACTTAAATGCAGAGTACATCATGAGAAGTGCCGGCAGGGCTGGATAAAACACATGCTGGAAACAAGACCGGTGGGAGAAATTAAATAACCTCAGATACGCAGATGACACCTCCCTTATGGCAGAAAATGAAGAGGAACTAAAGAGCCTCTTGATCAAAGTGAAAGGAGAGTGAAAAAGCCAGCTTAAAACTCAACATTCAAAAAATGAAGATCATGGCATCTGGTCCCATCACTTCATGGCAAACAGATGGGGAAACAATGGAAACAGTGACAGACTTTCTTTCCTTGGATTCCAAAATCACGGGACAGTGACTGCAACCATGAAATTAAAATATACTTGATCCTTGGAAGAAAAGCTATGACCAACCTAGACAGCTTATTAAAAAGCAGAGACATTACTTTGCCAACAAAGGTCTGTTTAGTCAAAGCTATGGTTTTTCCAGTAGTCATGTGTGGATGTGAGAGTTGGACCATAAAGAAGGCTGAGCACCGAAGGACTGATGCTTTTGCACTGTGGTGTTAGAGAAGACTTCTCGGAGTCCCTTAGACCGCAAGGAGATGAAATGAATCAATTATAAAGGAAATCAGTCCTGAATATTCACTGGAAGGACTGATGCTGAAGCTTAAGCTCCAATATTTTAGCCACTTGATGCAAAGAACTGACTCACTGGAAAAGACCCTGATGCTGGGAAAGACTGAAGGCAGGAGGAGAAAGGGATGACAGATGATGAGGTGGTTGAATGGCATCACCGATTCAATGGATATGAGTTTGAGCAAGCTCCAGGAGATGGTGAAGGATAGGGAAGCCTGATGTGGTGCGGTTCATAGGGTCTCAAAGAGTTGGACAAGACTGAGCGACTGAACAACAAAAAGAATATGTCACCATAACTTGATCGGAATGTGACTGTCGAGAAAGCAAGGTACTAAACTATCTATTTTCTATCTGAACAAATTGCAGGGGCAAGTGCTGTGGGAGATATTGGAA